ATTTAACAATATAAAGTTAAATTTCCTCTTTCTTTACTGTTAGTGGCTATTATATAAGATTATTTTAATTTAGCTATGTATCATTAAAAATTGTTTTTTAAACAATTTTGCTTTTTTTCCAGTTTAAATAACATTTTTAATGTCATAAATTGTTGTACAGTAATTTATAACAAAATATATTAATTATCAGTAAAAAATATTATTTTATTAATTTTTATTTACATAACTTGTATTATATATTTTTAGTTATATTTATTACAAGCCACTATCTAAAAAATAGCAACCAAATGTTTGTAACTTTTTAAAAAGCCAAAAAAATGTTTGTTAACATTTTTTTGGCTTTAACAAAAACAAAATTTTTGTTTAGAAATCATGTTATATTTATCAGATAAGATACATCAAATAGAAATGTATTTTTAATTGATTTAGTACAATTGACTTACTCTTTATATCTATTTTAACTGCAAAGTTTCAAATTATTTATGCTATGTAATGTTATAAATGTTTAGTTATAAAGAATTTTAAATGGATTAAAATATGAGAAAAACTTTATGTTTTTTATTGGCATTGCACTTGACTTATGTATCAAGTTTACCAGGTTAGCTTTATTTATGCTTAAAAGTTATAAATATGGAATAGTTTTTATTATGTTGTTATTTTCTGTGGAAGCATGAAGAATATTTTTATAATTTTGTAATAAAATATTTATTCCTAAATATTATGTTAAAGAGTATTTACAGAGGCTTGTCAAATACATCATCAAGCAAAATAATTCAAATTAAAATCGTAAAATAAATAAATTAAAGTAGGTAAGCAAATAGCAAAGATAAAAAGATCATATAAAGTTGATATAAAGATGTATATTGGAAATATCTGTGTCTGGCTCCAGATGATTAGTTGGTACCCCACATAGGCCCTAACATTTTTATCTCTATTCTGTAAGCAAGTCCTTTTTTATTCACTTTATTTATGGTTTCACAAATTAAATTTTTTAATTTTCTTATTTAAAGTGTTTTTAAAATTTAATCTAGTATTTTAGTATTTTGCATTATAAAATGCAAACATCTATAGGTTTTACTGCATAAAAAATGACATTTTTTTACAAAAAAATAAATAGTTTTTCAGTATTTTTTTATAAAATTATTGTTTTTAAAATTTTATACTATATATATTCATATATAGTATAAAACCTATAATTATAATATAATATAGTATCTTATTTATTTTAATGTATTTAATTATTTTAGGTATTGTAAAAACTTTGGCAGGGGGAGGTGAACCACACAAAGGAAAGAAGTCAGATTGTAACGATAAAGAAGATTCAAAAGATGGCATTGGAACTGAGGCTCGCTTTAATTACCCTTGGGGGGTAGCATATGATCACAACAAACATGCTGTTTATGTGGCTGACTGTGTATATTTTATTACAACCTCTTCTTTATTTAAACATAAAATTAAATGTTTTATATACAGTTATGAAAAGTATCTAAGTTTAAAGTTTTGTTGTCTCTTGATAATATTATCTTATGTTTAACAATTATTTGAAGGGATGTTTAGATTCTGTTCATCGGACTGACAAAATAAGAAAAATTGATATTAAAACAGGTTAGTTTGATTCTGAAAAAAAAAAGGTTTTTTTTTCTGAATATAACGAGAAGCAGCATTTTTGGGATAGTAAATGCGATGATAATGTGATGTAATTAAAACATTGTGTCCATTTAAAATGTTTTATTACCTTTTCATGCCCACTAATAAATTTGAAAACGATGTTCAATTTTCTGCAAAAATGTTAAAATTAAAAATCATTTCGTAAATTTAACTTAACTGTTGAATTGCAAAAAATTGATTATCATACCTCTGATATTATTATTTGTAGCTACCATAATTAGCTTGGGTGGTAATTACTATTGGCATAGGTGCTGCTATCTCTATTTTCAATTAGTCTATGATATAATGCTACAAATATAAATAGAATGATATATTTTAATATAAAAATCATTTGCACATTTATCATAGAGTTTCAACATATAAAAAATAATCCAAAATTTTTTTGCAAATCAAAAAAGTTGCAAATAATTGTTCTCTAAAATTTATAGGAACTGTTACTACAATAGCTGGTTCTACACAAGGTTTCAGTGATGGATTTGGAAAAGATGCACATTTTATGCATGTTGCTGGTATAAAAATTATATTTTTAACTAATAGTAATATAAAATGATATTTTTTAATACTTGATTTACTGTTGTGATATGTTAGCCTTACCTATAAATGCATATTAATTTATGTTTTATTCTAGAAAGGAGGGGAGGGGGAGGGAAGGGGGGAATCAATAAAACAGAATTGATATGACTAAAATAATTGTCAGATGATGACATGTAGCAATGAAAGTCTTTAACAGGATAGGTCCTGAGTTTGAACCTACTTTGCCTATTTGTAGCATGCTTTACTTGTTTTTTAATAAAGGTGTTATTTGATTGTCAATGTTTATGTTTTAAAAATTACTTAAAATAGTTGTGTAGATTTTGAGAGTGGTAGCATTTTTGACTGTAGTGAATGTGAGCTCTTATTTAAAGAATAGCCCATCTGCTGGATTTCTTTAAAAAACTTTTTTAAATAAAATTTTTGCTATAACACAAAAAGTTAAAAAAAAAAAGTATATAGTTATTAAATTTGAAATGCAAACGTAAATTGAGAAAAAAAAAACAATGCATAAATGTTATATAAATAAATGTAATTTATATGTTGCATAAATAAATATGAACTTTGTTTATAAAAACACAGTTTATTCTGAAAACAAGAAATGAATTTAGATGTTACGTTACTAAATATCTTTTAGATACTTAAAGGGGGATAAAGTGGTGGTGGGGGAGGGGCCGGATTATATATATATATATATATATATATATATATATATATATATATATATATATATATATATATATATATATATATTTTTTTTTTTTTTTTTTTCCAGGCATTACCTTGGATCCAATACTTGAACTACTTTATATAGCAGATAGTGTCAGTAAATTTTTTTCTTTTGTATTATATATAGCTCCTGATTGTGTGTATTAATATAATAAATATTTAAATATTTATCAATAAAAAAAAAATTAATTGGTTTGGTTTAGGGAAATCATCGCATCAGGATTCTTTATTTATCAAACAGTAAGTTTTTATGTTACCTCATGGCTAAACCAATATTTTTGATTTAAAACATAGAAAAAAAATTATAGTATTTTATAGGCAGTGGTGGTGTAGTGGTTTGAGTTCTGGCTTCAGAAAGGGGTCTGTAGTTCAAAGCCACTCTGTTCATATATGCATCATTGGTTAAGAAGGAGGCTTCCTGTTTAAAATAACTTCCTGTTTAAATACTATTCTGCTGTGCTCTGTTATAAAACCATTAGGACTTCTTGAAGCATAAATAACTAATAAAATTGATCAGATGATTAAATAATTTTTTTTTTGAATTGTTTTTCCTAAGTTTATGCAAAACTACTAATTATATATTATTTTAAATACTTCTGTAATTCGTAGCTTTGTTTTGCTTGTTTTTGAATAATTTTGAATAATTTAAATTTTGAGATTTTATGAAAAAAGTAGTAGAATGAATTATAATATATTCTAACTGCATCATATTTTTCAAATTTAAAAGCTAATTTTCAAGAAGGTAAAAACAGTAAAAAAAAGGGTATGTCTGTAAACATAAAATAAAAAGTAAATACAATCAAAAATTTAAGAAAATGTTAACTTGTGTTAGTTATTTTAAGTTATATTATTTTACATTAATTCTCTATGGATTAATAATCAAAAAATATTTTTAAAATTCTGGTATACCAGAATTTAATTAAATTTTAAATTCTAGGACTTTGGAAACATTGAAAACATGAAAAGATATTCATACTTTGTTGTAATTTAGCTTACATGAACTTTATCAAAATAGCTTTATTATTTTTCATTGTTCATGATTGTGTACTCTCTCTAGAAAATTCACCATGTACTCTTGGGAGTACATGGTGTACTTTTCACCATGTACTCCCTCAAAGTCATTTGTAGCTTTACTTTTTCTCTAACATTTTCTAAAGAATTTCCAAAAATGGTGTAAAATCTTTTTTTTTTCTTTTTCTACCTGTTTGAAATGCATATACTAAAGCTATATTGGGTATCCTGATCCTCCAATATTACATCTCATTTGCTTTTCTCAACTATTTGATACAATGATTTTTCTGTTGACAAGTTCCTTTTATTTTGACCATGTGGGGTTTTATTTAACGTTGCAATAATACTTGTTTAAAATAATAAACAAGTATTATTGCCCATACCAAAATGTATATAAAAAAAATAAATTGAAAAAAAAAATTAAAGCAGCATGGATGTAAGAAAAATATTAGATCCTTTGTATAAATGTATTTTTAAAAGTGATTGATTAATAAACTTCTCATCACAGTTGTGTCTATTATTATATTTATTTTAAAGAAGCGTAGCACTAATAAGTAGTCTATTTTGTCAGATAAACGTCGATAATCTATTTAAAAAAAAAAACTTGCAAAAAGATACGACAAATAATGCAATAGAAAATTTTTTACTAATTGAATTGTATTAACCTGAATACTTTTTTAAAGACAATACACAATGCTTAATCATTCACATGTTTTAAAGAAAGTCATTAGTTCGAGGTTGTTTTTTGTTATTTCTGAATCCAAAAATAAAATAGACCTAAGTAGTTTAATAAAATGATGTTGAATAGAGTTTTGTTTTTTAAACAACTATTTATTTTTATTAAACAACTATATAACAACTTTATACTAATAAAAACTTTTTTTGATGTAGATCGAGTTGATACAGTTGCAGGCTTGCCATCACCTGGGTTTGTTGATCAATCAACAGTGTCTTCACAATTTAATAATCCCCAAAGTGTTGCTATTATTCGTACTGATGATTTTAAACGAAGGCTTTATGTTGCTGATACGGTTTGATTAATTTGTTTATTAAATATTTCTTTCTTATAAATTCAAAAGTATGTGCTTTTAATAAAAAAAAAAAAAAAAAAATTTATAAATAATTTTTGTTTTTTTATTTTTTATCTTCTGCCAAAATAAAAAGTGGCTAGTAAAATAAAAACAGTATTAAGATTTTAAGAAAGTAAAATTTTTTGTTTCTTTGACAGCTTTTTCATTTTTAATTGTGAAATTTATAAAGTTAAAAGCGAATGAAAATTATAACAGCCTTAGAGCTTAAATATATATACTTAAATATATATTAAATTAAATATATATACATACATACATACATACATACATACATACATACATACATACATACATACATACATACATACAGGGGCTAATCTAGGCAAATAATTTGGGCAGCGGTACCCAATATTTAGGGTGAAAAAACAATATTTGCAGGCTGTCAAGTCGTCATTTTTTTCATTTTTTTTTTGGGTTCTTTTTTTTTTCTTAATTTTTTTTCATTTTTTTGTTAATTTTTGTTATTTTTTCATTTTTTTCTTGAATTTTTTACACTTTAAAGTTTTTTTTAAATACTTAGAATTGCTGTTTTTGATATTTTTAAGTTGTTTTAGACGTTATGTTACTTTACATTTTAATTTTAATTATCCATTTGTATTGCTAAATTGGTGTTATTGTTTAAAAAAATAAATCATTTTATAGTATAGAATTAGTAAAGTTAGTGATTTTCATATTTAGTTTTTAGTATATTTATCAATAGATTATATAGTATAATGCAGGCCTTGCGATGAATAAGAACTGCGCGACGCATAAGCACGACGTGATTTTTGACGTCATTAAATTCTTTTTATTTGCTTTTCATATTTATCAACATTAACTGCACCAATTTATTTAATTACCGCAAAACTACTTTAAATCGTTTATGTAGAAATGTTATTATTTAAAAATGTTTTGGAATGTTTCGTTTTTTAAAATGTAAAAACATTTGTTTATTTTCTCGACGTTTGTCACGTTTTGTCTATACTAAACGAATAAAAAACATTATAACTTAAATTTAAAAAAGATTATAAAATATGCTAATATTTGATTTTTTTTTCTTAAATATGTAATTTAAAGTTTTTCAAATAATTATTTTTTCTTTTTAAAGTCAGCGAGTAATAAACTGGAAATTTTAATATTGTACGATTAAAAACTGTGCAATAGCTAATATTTTTACAAGCGATTTTATATAATATTTATTTATTTATTTTTATTTATTTTCATAAAGCGGTTGATAAGCACAATCACTCGTATTAATAAAAAACTTAAACGAACGTTTTGAATAGATTTTTAATGTTAACAAGGAATTTTATTTCTAGTAAAATAAAATAAAATGTTAGAATAAAAATCTTATAGGTATAAAAGAAATATTTCAGCGAAAAAATTATTCTTAAAAATTATTCTTAAAAATTATTCGAAAAACTATTGACATTCTATTTTTCAGCAGCTGTTCTTGAGCACGCTTTGATGAGTTTCGGTAACTTTTAACATAAAAGCGATCGTTATTATTTAAGTAATTTTTTTGAGTTACTTTTTACAAAAATTTTAATAACTGTACTTTTTTATTGAATCAAGTAGAATACGTTTTAATATTAATCTTTTTTTTTTTTTATTTGCCCTCACCAATTTTTAAAATGTTTCCTCGAAATCACTCTTAATACATTAAATACGTCTAACAGTTAATAAATATTTTTAAATCTATGGAATAATTTTAAATCCTATCAAACCCCTGTAAAATAATTATTTAAGTTTAAAATCTAAAACTAAAAGAAAGTATTTTTGTTCAATTTTATCGACAACGTTGCTATTGTTGAATAATTTTTATTAAAATGTTAGCTTAAAAGATTTAAACTTTTTTTTTAATTTTTGAATTTTTTCTACTTGAAAATAATGAGCATATTTAATTTTTTTAAATTCAAACTTTTATTTCAACTGCATGCGGTTTTTAAAATACTTTATTAAATGTTAAAATAATCGTAAATTACTTCATTAAAATTCCGCTCAAAAATATCTTTAAATATACTCAAACAAAAAATTTTTCGCTCGACGCAAATAGCCCTAGCTACACGCAAAATTGCCCTTGGACGACGTAAAATTCACATCGCCCGACGCTTTATCGCAAGGCCTGATAATGGTTAAGTGGAATGATGTGTGGTTGGAAAAGTTAGACAAAAATCTAGTAAAAAAATCCAATTATGGGCTGAAAAAAGAAACTCTGAATATGCTATCTGTAAACTATGCAAAAGTGATTTAAAATTCAGTTCAGTTGGTTTCCAAGCACTATATCAGCGTTCTTCAAAACCTAAACATAAGTCAGTGTCTGATCTAAGATTTTCACTGCTCGTCATTTATATGTAGATTCTAACAGAAATTGTTGTTTGTGAATTATTAGTTAACGAACTATTTTAATTTTAATATAATTAAATTTTCTTTTAATTTTAAATGTCAACACTTTCTCCATAACAATTTTATCTTAATTTTTGTACAGGTATCATTTGTGAAAGATGAATAGAAATTATACCAAGCAGCTAATATATCAAAAGACTGGTATATAGATTCTGATAACTAGAAAACTAAAAAGTTAGACCATTATTGGGCTAAAGTTTTTGAAAGTAACAATGAATATGGAAAAACAAAGTATGGGTATCTCAGTAAAGTTGTTAAGAGCTGTTTAACAAGTCAGAATGGAAATGCCAGTGCTGAGCGAAGTTTATCTGATAACAAAAATACATTGACTCCTGAGAGAGTAAATCTAAATGATGAAACATTAATGGCTTTGAGAATATCAAAAGAATATGCAAGAAGTTGCAGAGGAGCATATAATGTTGATGCACTCTCCAAAGACGTTGTTCAAGCTGTTCAAAATGCTCATAAAATATATAAAAAAAGAAAAGCTGAAGAAGACGAAGAAAAAAGAAAAAATTATATTCATGAGCAAGAACTAATGAATAAAGAAAAAGAACAGAAAGAAATGCTTGAAAAAGTTGAAAATAAAAATAAAAATTTAGATCAACTGGAAAAAATTCTAAAGAATGATGAAAAAAATGCAGATCTTGAGTTTCAGCTTGCTCAGAGAATGCTCGATGAAGCAGCAAAATCTATGCAAAGTGCCATTATTAAGGAAGACATGAATTGCCCATGAAATGGTAAACAGCGCAAAAAGAAGTCTTGAAAATGCTACATCTCATAGAAATGAACAGAAAAAGTTGGTTTAAAACGTAAAAGTGAAATGGATAGATTAATTAAGCGTTGCAAAAAGTTAAAGTAGTCGTTAAAAGTTTGAAAGTTTTTGTAAATATAATAGAGCTTGAACTGTTAGTTCAGTTATAATTAGTTAGCAAATTTATTTATTTATGTTAATTATTTTAGACTTTAGAAAAACATTTTATTGCGTGTTAAACAACAAAAAGATGTTGAGATTTTCATTTTTAAAAGAAATTATTGATGGCGGATAATTTTGTTTGTTATTTTCTAAATAAAATTATTGAACTTTTCATTTTTTTTCATTTTTTGTCATTTTAATCTTCAAAATACCGTCATTTTTTGTCATTTTTTTTGAAAGTTGCTGCTTGACAGCCTATATTTGCTGTATAAAAAAAAAAATTAAAAAAAAATGTCCTCAACTTCTGAATTGGAGCAGCGTCCAAATTGGCACCCAAATATGGTTGATGCTGTCAAAAATGGTTTAGAATACCCCCTGTATATATATATATATATATATATATATATATATATATATATATATATATATATATATATATATATATATATATATATATATATATATATATATATATAGAGGCCTTCTCAGGAGAATGCCTTGAATGACCACGCATATATATATTTTTTGTTAATAACATGGTCGCACTTTTTTTTCCATTTATTAAAAATGACACATTTTAAAAACGCGCTGAAAAAATCAAACTAGTTAGTCATCTTATTGGTTTTTTTTATTATTAATAATTTATTATTATAATTATTTATGAGAAGATAAAAACCTGACAATAATGCACATATATATATTTTTTTAATTAATGACAAAATAAAAAGATAAAAATAATATATATATATATATATATATATATATATATATATATATATATATATATATATATATATATATATATATATATATATATATATATATATATATATTTGTTTTCATGCATTTAATAAAATTCTGGCCATTTTTCGTTAAGTTTTTGTTAACTAAATGAATTATAAAAGATGTTTATAAAAGATTTAAATGTGAATACTTAGCAGCATTTTAAAAATTCAATCTTATAAAAATAAAGCAATACGCATAAACGTAAGAAGTGTAAATAAAAACTTCGACAAACCAATGACTCAATTAAGTAATAATAAAGATGTAAAACTAAAATATTTTTCTGAAGTTGCTCTTGGTCTTGCGAAAAAACTATTTCCAAAATGATAACTTTCATGAATTTTATGAAAAATCACTCAGGAAGAGTACCACCAGTTTTTCAAAAATTTCTTTGTTAATTATTTTTAATGAATGAGTTTAATACTTATGCAATTCTTTTGTTAAGTAACTCTAACTCTTAATAATAGATAAGAAAAATCATGATAATCGCTCGATAATGTAAATGATGTAACTTAAGTAAAAAATACAGAAATGAGACCTATAAGTTGAATCAGTTTTTTTACCTTGTTTTCCGTGTAGCATAAGTGCAAGTGGCATTTTCAGTAATAAGTTTGCACTCTTTTGGCCGAACTCAAAACTTTTAAGCTTATTTTATTTATTAGACTAATAGCTTTCATACAAAATTGCTAAAAGTTTAATTTAAAAGTTTAAATAAGCAAATATTTGATAAAGTTGTTGCGCATGTAACTTAAGTTAAAAATGGAATAGCCCATATATGTTATTTTAATGTTTTTATTTTCTCATTAATAACTATAATGAATAATTATTAATAATAAAAAAAAAAAGATAAGCAATT